AAATTGATTCCCTGTTACATGTCTTGTGGTGTTCTACTTTAATGGATTATGGGCTAGTCACTGAACTCCTTTCGCATCACTTTTCCCATCTGTAAAATGGGGCTGATAACACTTATAATACTTACATCACATGATAAAATGAGATAAGCTTTATATAGAGCTATGTAAATGTCAGTCATCACTATGATTATATCATCAAGATGAGAACTACCTTCACCAGTTCAGATTGCAGCCTGCCCACTCCCTGCCCATCCAAACTTGCCAGAGGCCTTTCCTCCACGTCTTTTAATATTTTCTGGATGCCAGTACAACACTTAGGCTGTCCATCTGTAACCTGAAACACAACTGCCCCACCCCCCCTTTTTTTTAATTGTAGGTTCTCAGTTGGAAAGGATCCCAGAGGTTATTTATTTAGTCCAACCTACCTCTACTCCAGGTAGAAATCCCACCTCCAAGCAACTCTCTAACAAGTGAAATGAAACTTAGGTTTTAGCCAGGGAAGCTTAGGATCCTTGTGTGTTGAGGGGAAAAGCAGTGTTGGACTAGTGCAAAGACACTGTGTTGAGAGTCCCAGGACCTGAGTTCCAATCCTGACTCTGCAGCTTGGGCAAATTACTTACCCACTCTCACAGTAAAGAGAGACAGAGTGTGTGTGTGTGTGTGTGTCCATCACTTATGGCATGTCAAAGTCTTCATGGTAAAGGCATTATTAGCCTACTTACAACAGGCACAGATGATACAAAGTTGCCTCAGTATGGCCATGTGCAAAGTATCAATTACAAGAACCACCCTCTTTCTGCCCCCAAGGACTGTCTGTCACAAGGGCTAATGGTGCCTCAGCTTGGTGCCTTGGAGGTAGGTGTTCCACGAGAATGGACCGTGTCATTAAGATCTTGTTGTTACAAATACACCAGTGGCTTCTACTTATATACAAGATAAATACCCATCCCTGTCTGGCTACATTCTACATGAGTATTTACATAATAGCACCTTCTATTTACAGGGCACTTAATGACAGAACCGAGGTATATTCATCACCACAAAAGGCTGCAGGTCATTGCAGAGTTTCTCCGAGAGGGGAATCTATGTACCTGACCCCAGGTAGGTAGATACCTCTTCCTAACCTCCTTACCAGATAACCTCCACCTTGGGGGCATCCATGTTTGCATCAATGTCCCCTCAACCATCAGGCTCCCTAGGTAATTAACCTCCACTATTCCTAGGATCTGCACTTTTACTCCCCGACTCCCACATGATCATGACCTTCATTCTGCTATTATCTCAATTGTCAGCCCTCCATGAACCAGAGCTCCAACATTCTTCTCTCTGATCACAAACAACTCCTATATTCTCCAGCAGTTAAAACACAACCCTTCACATAATAAATGACAAAAAAAAAATATTGAATGTAAGTGACTTGCCCAGGGTCACACAGTCAAAGTCAGAAGTCAAAACTCTCAGTTTCCTTCTCTGTAAGATAACAATAGCACCTGCCTCTCAAGAGTTTTTGTGAGGATAAAATGAGATAACTGTAAAATGGTAAAATGCTTAGCACAGTGCCTGGCACACAGTAGGATACTTACAAAAATGCTTTTCAAAAAAATCAAGGGCTGTTTCCACTTCACTGCAGAGGAGATGGGGGAAAGTGAGGTACCAGAACAGGAATAACTTGCTCATAGTTACATAATAATACCTCCCATTTCTGTAGCATTTCAAGGTTTACAAAGTACTCTTGTTATAGTGCCATGAGAGTCAGGTGAGAAGGGTATCATATCATCTCTATTTTATACATGGGGAACCAAGGTACAGAACAGTTAAAAGATTTGCCCAAGACACCATACTGGTAGCAAATTTGGGAAGAGGGATTTAAATGAGAGATTTCCAACCTGGTCTTTCTACTATCCTACATGGCCTGGGTAGAACAGGAAAGCTTTGTTAAGAATGAGGTGCAGCCCTTTTTCTGGGAGGACGCCAGTCTGACAGAGGTAGGAGGGGGGCCATAGATGAGCTTGCATAGGACACAAGATTTTTTTCCCATGTATTGACAGGTTTTGCTGATTTCCCTCCTCTTCTTTTTTTTCTCCTTTAAATTTTCTGCATAAATGCCTGTTCTCTGGAAGGAGTTGTAGGGAGGAATATATTGGGGGGAAATGTAAAGAGATAGATAGATATACATACGTACATATATAAAGATATATAAAATATATATAATAAAAAAGATGTAAACAATTTCTTAAAGATCTGAATAACATGCTTTTTTAAAGTGAGAGATCTCATATCTTTTTCTATTGGTCCTATGCTCTTTCTATTCAGTAGAAGCAGCAGAGATAGGCAAAACCCTGAAATGGAAGCTGACATTTCTATCCCTTTGTGTTGTTTCCTGCTTGGAGTAGGGAAGGGTTTTGACTGGTTTGGACCAGGCTCAGGTGCCTTCCTTGTGTACATCATACACACACACACACACACACACACAGCATAAATAACTCCAGCACATGTGCCCAGTCCTAGGTTACTGCAGCATTCCTCGTTAGTACAGGGATCACAAAACCCTGCCAGATCCAGGGAGGGAGAGACAAAATTACAGGAGGATGCGCTCGTTTGCAAGAGGCCAGGCCACTGCTGCCCTCTGTCTCCCAAAAAAAGTCTAAACAGTAAATTTCCTTTGAGGTCTCTCCAGGGCACAGAAGTGACTATTCTCAGGGAAAGTCCATTCCTGAGCCAGCCTTTCCATAGGAACGGTCCCATTCAGGGTTCACCAGAATCACCAATAGTGTTCCAGCATTTCAGTTGCTCCGAGAAACAGAACAATGTGGCAGCCAATCCTGGCTTGGCTGTGGGCAGATAGGACTAGTCTCTGCAGTTGGAAGAGAGGTCTTAGGGCCTGTATCCCTGGAGAGCAGAGCGGCCTAGACAGGTTAGGGCTTGAGGCCTTCCAAACTAACTTCCCTCACTTGAAAGGAAAGAATTAAAAGCCCTGGTAATGCCAGGAAAACTTTCACCACTGGAAATACCAGGCAAAGCTTCAAACATGGATTACGCTTTAGGGTGAAAAAAATACTGGTCATAGGGGTCAGAGGAGCTGGAGTCCAGTCCCAGCTGGACCAGGGTCTCCCTATTTGACCTTAGGCAAATCATTTGACCTCTCTAGGGTCAGTTTTACCATCTGCCAAATGAGTGGGTTGAACTAGATAGTTCCTAAGGCATAATCCCCACCCCACACCCCAAGGTCTGACATTTTCTAGTTCCCTCTCCCACCTCTCCCATTCTATATCCTAAGGTCCCACTAGTTCTGACATTCTGATCTAAGGTTCTTCCCAGCTCTGACAGTCTGATCTAAGGTCCCTCCCAGTTAGGACATTCTCTTGTCCTAGACTCCTTCCCAGCTCTGGCATTCTGCATTCTTCTATAAACCTACCTGGAGATTTCTTTGTCCTATGCCTAAATCACTTCCTACATATAAAATAATAGGACCATCAGGCATGGGATAGACCAAGACGAGTTATCATATCTGACCCAAAGGAAGAGATAGGAAGGAAACAGACCGTGTAACTGCATGGTCCAAGCATGTTCAACTGAGATCATTTTAAAAGCTAAAATGTGTCTTCTGTGCTTTTGGCAAATGTTTCACATTAGCAAAAACTCTACAATTAGAGTAGCACATATGTTTCTCCTCCACTGAAATTTCTTTTCCTGTGTTCCTTGATCTCCAAGGAGTTCAACTGCTAAAGTGATGCACCCATTTCTGTATTTCAGATAAATGAGCACCAACGACATTTGCTTCCTGATGACAACGAGCTCTTTTGAATCATTTATGGATTAAGTAAAGGTAGATGCTGGGATTTATTGTAACCCTAACTTCCCTTCTGGTCCAGCTCCCTTTTCAACACATCCCCTCCAGCAGAGTTCAATAAAGTTGAAATCCACCACAAGGCAAAGTTTCTCACCCAGAATTTAGAGTCCGAAAAGCTGGATTTGAATCCCATCTCTACTACTACCTTGGGCAACTGAGTTCCTCTGTCTTTTCTTCTGGAAAAAGATGGGGCTGGCCTAGTTGGTTGGTAAGGTCCCTCGCAGATCTCAATCCTCTATCTGCTCTAAGCATGGGGGTTGGAGGACTTGGTTCTACCACTTCCTACCTACGTAGTTTGTCTGGGTCTCAGTTTCCCCCCTTGTTCAACGAGAGGATTTCACAGATTTGGAACTGGACAGGGCCTTAGAGGTCATCTAGTCCATTTTACAGATGAGCAAACTGAGGCTTGGAGGAGTCAAGTGGCTTGCCTAAAGTCACTGAGGTAAGAAAGATTGGACTTGAGCTCAAGCACAATCGCTCTTTTCTCCATGAACTCTAAAGTCCCATCCAGCCCCAAAGCTATGATCCGATGGCCTCTGTACTTGGCCTTGACCGTGCATCGCGGTCACGCTTCTGATCTCTCAACCCTCTCACCTGAGACCTGCCAAATGCACTAGTGGAGGATTACCCTGCACCCCGGCAGCGATCGCTGAGACAGCCTCCCCAGACCCACACCAGGGACAGTCGCCGGAACTGCGAGCCCTCGCTTGGGCTCCTGAATGTAAACACCGCTGCGGCGCCTCCCGCTCCCCACCAGAAGGGCATCGCGCCGATCGCCTCGCTCCCGGGGCCAACGCCAACAAGTTCGGGGCCGCAAGAACTTTTGCTCGCTAACTCCCCGCAAACATCTGCTTCGTCAGGGGGGAGGGGTAGTCCCAAACTCCGTCCCAGGGTGGCCCGCCAGGCAGCCAGCCGGCCGGAGGACGGCATTGTCTCCATCAGTGCCCAGAAGCGCAAGCCGGGGTAGGTCGGCAGACTCGACAATAGCCAGGGCCTGGAAGCCCTAGTTCTCCTCCTGCCCCCGCCCCCCTCACCCTGAAGCCGGCTGGGGCCACCGATTCCAGTTCCCCCGCCCAACCAGTTCCCCTTCCCTAGTCCCCCGAAGGGTCCCCTAGGGCGCTTGGGCGCCGGGGCCGGCACCGGCACCTACCCGGCTTCCTCTCGTCACCGTCGGATTTCATGGTGGGCGCCGCTGGCTGAGCTCCGAGGGGTTGGGGCCGGGGCGCCCGATGGGGTTCGGGCTCCGGCTTGGGCTCCGTCCCCCGCCCCCACTCCCACGGGCTAGCTCCCCAGCCTCGCTCCCCCGCGGGCTCCTTCCCGGCCCCGCAGGAAGTGCACGCTTCTACCTGGCCCGTGAGGAATTTGACCCTCTCCCAGGTGGCGGAGTCCGCCGCTCTCATGATGGCAAGGGGGGGCGGGGGGCACGGCAAGGGGACGGGGGCGGGGCCTCACTTCATAGCGCCGGGCCGGGCGCAGAGAGAGCAGAGAGGGAGAGAAGAGGTTCTCGATCGGCCCCGGGTCCGGACAGACGGAGAGCCCAAGTTGGGAGGCCGGAGACTTGGAGCCGCCTCGGAGGCTCCGGGATCTCCCCAGGTTGCAGAGCCGGGGGGCTAAGGGTCCCACTTCATCGCGCCCGGAGCCCCCCACCTTCCGCGGCACCCCGGCTGCAGGGATGCAGCGAGCCGGGTCCAAGCGGGCTCTCGGAAATAGGTCACTTTGCGAGCCGAGGCTCTGCAGTAAGCAGGACGGGGTTCTCTGGGCATCGGCGGCCTCTCACGTGAGAAGGGATCTCGCTTCGCTGCCTCCTCCTCCTCCTCCTTCCGGGATAGCAGAAGGCTCTTCGGTGGCCACGCCCCCATCCCATCCCCCTGCCGGCTCCTCCCCTCCGATCCCACCCACAGGAGTGAATTACCCAGCTCCCAGACCCGCTGCGAGGGAGCTGATCTCGGAGGACGCCGCTGGAGAACAGTCTCATGGGACCCAAGCCAGGAGCGAGAGCGGGAACAGACCGTAGTCCAACCCCCTTATTTTACAGATGAGGAAACTGAGACCCACAGAGGTTCAGTGACTTGCCCTGGGTCACCCAAGGAGTAAGAGGCGGGGCTGGGATTTCACAGGAATCATACATTTAGAGTTGGAAGGACCTCAAAGACCATCTGCTCCAGCCCTCTCAATTTTACAGACGAGGACACTAGAGATGGATCATCTAATGCAGGCTCTCCCACCCTCAATTTACATATAAGGACACTGAAAAAGAAGCCTTTCCTCTCCAGTCTCCCAGTAACTAGGCCCCCTCCCTCAATCTCTCTGTATTTATCCTGTAAACAAAAATGAAGGTTCTTCAAAGAAGTTCCACTAAGGCACCGACTCCATGAGATCTATAAATACGGAGTCACTCTCACACGGGAGACATAGCGAAATTTGGGACAGAAACTCTTGTTAGCTACTACCTGTGTGCCCCTGGGCAAGTCACTGCTGGCTCTATGGGCTTCTTTTCTCTCCTGTAAAATGAAAGGGTTGGACGACAATATCAGGGGATTTTAACAGATAAGCAGACAGAAGCTTTAGAAGGCAAAACTCTGCCATTGCTAAGTCTTAGAATAAAAAAGTTGACATTTATATACTTGGAAGAGGTTATGTTAGTTGGCCTCTAAGATCCTTTCCAGCTATCTGTGATCCCATATTGCTTTGAAGTTTGCAAAACACTTTACAACAAACCTGTAAGATAGGTGCAGCTGTTACCCCCATTTTCTAGATGAGGAAACTGAGGGTCAGATAAAGTTATTTGTCCAAGGTCACACAGTTAAGTGTCTGGGACATTAGTTCTTCCTGACTACAAATCCGGACTTATGTCCTTGTGGACACTGCCCTTGAATCTTAAGACTTACTAAGTCCCTGTGTACAAAGCAAATCATTTTCCTGAGACTCAGTTTCTTTATCTGGAAAAGAGAGGCAATATACTGGTAATACAAAAGCAAACAATATAATTTTTTTCCAAGAGAGGCAGTGTGGTGTAATGAATAGAGCTGGTCTCCGACTCAAAAATACTTGGTTTCCCGTCCTCTGACATCTTAGTAAGACACTTAACCTCTGAGGTCTCGATTTTCCTCATCTGCAAAATGAGGGGTTGGTCTATGGCAAGGTATGGAACCTGTGGTCTCGAGAAGTTCAGTCCTTTGACTGAATCCAAACGTCACAGCACAAATCTTCTATCAAGGGAATTTGTTCTGCAGATCCCCCACCCCTGCTCTATGGTTTCTGTGGAGCTTTCTAGCTCTAGAAGCTATGGTTCTATGATCTTAATTAAGGCTGTGGGACCCAGGCAAGTCACTTAAGGGTCCCAGGTGGCTTTCTAGGTCCTTAGGTTGCTAAGCAAATGCTGATAAGCAGGGTACATTTCCTTGATGGAGCTCTTTACACTAATGCGATCACACAGGTTTGTTCATTCCCAAAAAGGGAAAAAAAACTATGCTTGCAATTGCATTAGTAGAAATGGGAATAGTTATTCTTTTCCCACCTCTTTCTGTTGCCTGCTCCTAGTCCTACTGAAAGCCCTGAGTACTATCCTCTCCACAAGAGTCTGGTCAAATCAAAAGACTTTTCCCAAATAGTCCTGTTCCTAGGAGCTACCTCTTCATGCTTGGGACAAAAAGTGAGCAGGTAAGCAGGTATGTATAGGCTTCTAGCTGGGAACACCTGAGGCACTGGGGTGTTGTGGGATCCTGGGTGAGGTCAGGTGCTAGCCTTTCTTCCTGTAACATCCAGCCAGAGACCCACATTCCCAGAGCAGGGAGAGCAGGACACTGGTTAGCTCAGAGATTTGGTCTCTCAGATGGGGTTTCCCTGTGTCTGCCTGGGTACTCCCATTATGACTTGGCAGGTGTGGGCCTGCCCCTATCTCAGGAGGCCTCGCCTTTGCCAGACTTATCTTTCCCAGCACCCCCATGAGGAGGATCAGATTTCCCTCCATTGTCGATGCACTGATCAAAAGCCCAGTCAGGCTGGGGGCCAAAGCCTGCCTGGATTCCCTGGCATGGGCAGAGCTCAAACAGTCCTCTGCCTGTGGGTCCTATCTTGCCTTCTGCCCTGCACACCTCCCCTCCTCCAGCAAAGATTGCAGCCACTAGGTCCCAGAATCAGCCCCTGCCCACATTCAAAGCCTTGGGTAGAAACAGCGTGACCATATGGGGCCCAGGAGGGAGTTACTCTACAGGAGACTATAGGAGCTTTCCACCGGGGATTTAAAACCCCGCCCAAGTAATTTTCCTTTAGTGGGGAGGAGTTCTAGCTCATCACTGGAATCCAGGCTGCATACCATCAATCCTGGTTTCCCAGCTTTGCCTCCATAGCCTCCTATGTGCTAAGTGCCCAAGGGCCATTCACACGTGACACCAGCCCAAGTGGAAGAGGTTCAAAGGGACAGATAGGACAGGATAGGACATGTTTCCATTATTCTCTAGCAGGGCCTGAGATGGCCCAGCTGCTCCAATGTCCTAGCACCCTCTAATGACATGTGGACAGGCATGCCCATCCCCTGAAGGCCTAGCAGTATTCCAGCTTCTGGGGAAATCAGTTTAAACACCCACTGACCAAGAGCCTTCAGCCCCAAGTCAGGAGACCTGGGCCCTGGGCCCAGCTCTGCAACTAATTGCTGTGCAAATGTCAATCAATCACATCCTTGGTTTTCTCTTTTGTAAAATGTAGAGGCTGAACAAAATTATTTCTAAGATTCCTTTCACATTCTGTGTCCCCTCCCAGCTCTGACACTGTGTATTCTCAGGCCCCTCCCAGCTCTGACATTCTGAGTTCTGAGGGCCCTCCCAGCTCTGACTTTCTCTGTTCTAAGACCCCTCCCAGCTCTGGCATTCCCTGTTCTAAGGCCCCACCTTGGTCTGATATTCTGGGTTCTAATGGCTCTTCCAGCTCTGACATCTTGTGTTCTAAGGTCCCTCCCAGCCCTTTCTCTTGTTTTATAGTTAGTTGTCCTGTGTTCTCTCCCTTTGATAAAGCCATAGAGTCCCACCTTCTATGACAAGAGTCAATCTTTTCTCACACTAGAGGCAACCATCACCTTGGTCCTTCAGTTCCTCTCGTCCTCTCCCTGTCTCTCTCACCTTCTCTTTCCATGGGGCTGCTATGATCCCCTGCTCCTTAATTTCGTGCCTCTTCAATGTTATTCCCCAGCTTTTATGTCTCCTCCCAGCCTCCTTCCTGTAGGAAACTGTTCCCCATGGGGACAGCACTGGCGCTCAGGCCATCTGAGCATCATTGGAAGGCATGGGGGGTGTTTAGCCTAGAGATGCTTAGACAAGACTTGGAGGGAGAGTCAGAAGAGGGGACTTCATAGTTATTTTCCAGTCTTTGATGAGCTATCCTTTGGAAAAGGGATTAGCATTGTTCTGCTTGGTCCCAAAGGGCTGAACCAGGATCGGTGGGTGACTCCAGGAAGGCAGATGTAAGGGAACACTTCCTCACAAATGGGAGCTTTCTACTAGAGAAATGACTGGGGAGTCATTTCTCCATCTCCAACCAAGGATGTCCAGGTGGGCTGCTTCCCTTCCAATGGAGGAGGCCCACCTTGCCAACATTGCTGAAGAGCCTCTTCCCCTCTGATTTCCCTTTTGACCCTAAGGTTCTGTAATTCTCTTAGGGAAAGAAACTTGGCCTGTGGGAAGAGCTGTGGATCAGGTCTCTGACACTTATTACTGGGTGACCTTGGAGGTTGTATTAGATGGCTTTGGAAGTCCCTTTGTACTCGAGAGCCATGATCCTAAGATCCATACTGAGGGGCAGAAGAGACAGACTAGTAAAGCATTTATTAAGTACTTACTGTGTGCCAGCCACTGTGCTAAGTGCCAGACAAATATAAGCAAGCAAGACAGTTGGGCCTGTTAAGGGCTTACATTCTAATGAGAGAAGGCCTGAGGTAAGACTAAATTCACCAGCCTCAACCCCACCCCAACCCAATTTTTCTTCTCATGTCAGGAAAGCAGATTGAATAGAACAGGAGACAGAAATAACAGGATTACAGGGCTACAACTAATGAGGTGAATCAGAGGTCATCAAATCCAATCTCTTCATTTTATAGATGGGGAAACTGAGGCACAGAGCAGTTAAGTGAGCTTGTCCAAGGTCACAAAGGTAGTAAGTGATTGAGCTGGGACTAGAACTCAGGTCTTGTGACCCCAAGTTCAGCCTACTACCTCTCTTAACACTGTTCAGTAAATTCACTCTTTCAAGGACTTTTGAATGATCTTCAATGTCCTCCATTCCTGGCATTCTGGAAACCACTGCCCACATCCCACATGCCCCCTACATTCTCCAGCTGGCCTAGGGAGCTTGGTTATGAAGAGCATCCAGCATGTTCTGACCTTGGTGGGAACCCTTTACATCCTAGGACTTAGAATTAGAAGGAGCCTTAAAGGTCACAGGGGCAGCTACATGGCCCAGTGGATAGAGCATCGGGCCTAGAGTCAGGACTCACTTTCATGAGCTCAAATCCAGCCTCAGACACTTACTAGCTGTGTGGCCCTGGGCAAGTCACTTTACCCTAGTTGCCTCAGTTTTCTTGTCTGTCAAATGAGCTGGAGAAAGAAATGGCAAATCTCTCTGGTATCTTTGCTAAGAAAACTCCAAATGGAATCATGAAGAGTCAGATATAACTGAAGATGACTGATATAGAGGTCACAAGACCACAGATCTAATGCTGAAAGAGTTCTTAGAGGTCATGTAGTTGAACCTCTTCCTTCTATAGAAAAGCAAACAGAGGCACAGAGAAGTGACTTATCCAAGGTCACACCATCT